GCCCGTCTCGGGGTCCCCATCCAGGAAGACGGCAGTGACCAGCACAGCTGAGTTTGCTGGTAATGGCTTTCATACTTCGCTGCTAAGTCATTGGTTGACCGCCTCTGGCTCTCTTCCAGCCTTCACATGGTTGTGCGAAAAGAGCCCTTCGAGGAAGTCGGTCGACTGGCATACGCAGCACGTGGCCAAGCCAGCGCAACCTATGCGTTGTGATCAGTTCATCTGAATTCATCAAACAGTCTTGGCAGTCACTCTGTAGTTAGACTTCATCTCTCCGCGGTGATAGCTTCGTTAGGGAGCAACTGGAGAACCAGAACGACCTAGTTGCTATCGGTTTAGAGGTTTCGGGGTCATCAGTCGCACGTTCATGACAGCGGAGCTGTTGTGTGGCGTAGGAACAGTCGTTTGTCTCCCAAATTCACCTTTCGATAAATCAGTATGTGAGCGTGAGCGCATGAATTTATGAAGATGGGGTCGCTCATATAGCAAGGGCTTGTGTTGCGATGCGTTCTGCACCTCCACTCGACAGGGGAGGTCAGCACGATCGTCTAAGTGGACATCGTCAGCAGGTTGCGTGGGAGAGGTTACTTCCGTTCGACGATTGCACATGCGAATTAGTACTAACACCGGCTAGCGAATTAGTCCTTCTGAAGTTCATTTATAGAAATGTCTAAATATTGTTAGCTCGGGCGGGTTAATGGACTGTTGGATAACATTTGCGAAGCTCGGCGAACAGATCAACGTGCACCTGGTCAACAGTTAAATTAACTAAATACGACCCACGTTTTTCACTTTGGCAAGAAAGGGGAAAAGTATTCGTTTTTTGCCGAATCAGTTTGGAAGAGAGTAAAACATTGTGACGCGTTCGCNGGGCGGGTTAATGGACTGTTGGATAACATTTGCGAAGCTCGGCGAACAGATCAACGTGCACCTGGTCAACAGTTAAATTAACTAAATACGACCCACGTTTTTCACTTTGGCAAGAAAGGGGAAAAGTATTCGTTTTTTACCGAATCAGTTTGGAAGAGCGTAAAACATTGTGACGCGTTCGCTGACCGCCACCAAACAATCCATTGTTCCAGTTTCGACGTATCTGTGGAACTTTACAACCTTTTTAAGCGAATTTTCGTGAATTTATGTCATTAAACGAGTTGCGCATTCCGAGAAGTTAATTCCAAACTGATAGTCGCGTGAAAACTATAGAAGTTAGGCATATAATATATGTAATGTACGCCATATAATTAATGTTCAACATATAATATAATACTGGTAGATTACCAGTGAAAGGAAGAAGGCCTTCGCCGCGGAGTTATTTAACTAGGAATGCCAAGTGACCGGTTACAAACCATTGAACAGGGAAGCAAAACTCTAATCTGCATCTTAGTTACAAAAACTGGACACCGATCTTCTCCCGAACGAGTCTTCTTGAACTTTCCTGGAGATTCATTGACTCCAATCATTCCTCGGTCAAATCCAAGCACATGTTACAAAGTGACTCCACGAATTCCGCAACAGATCTCCCCTTTTCAAAAGACGCAAAGCGAAATTCTACGAACAACACGTGCTACTCGTGTGCCTCCCCATCAGTAGTATCACCGTTACACGAGCACAAAAAAGTAACATAGACTTGAGAGTGGGATAGGAGTGCATGATGCGGAGAATTTGGCTTGAAAAGACAGTGAACCATAAAGGAATCCAAGGTATTGTGGCCAGTGGTATCCTTCGACTTACACCACCGCGTCTCCTTACTACCGCATCTGCAGATAGATGGCCGTCTACTTACACACATTTCCGAGGTGAATAAAACAGCTTTTAACTTGCAACCAGCAACACGCACCCCGAATTATTTGTGAAAATTTGCAGTTCCTGAGTAGCAAAAGGTGTCAAATCGACTAACCTGAACTGTCAGACTGTTATATCTGACTGCTGTTCCCGCTCCATTGCCTAGTGCCGGATGAAAGACTCACTGATAGGGAACACAACAGCTTCATGGCGAACAAGCGGGAGCGTGCGAGTGCAAAAGTTAAAACGGCCCCGCGCTATTTAACTGGCACTTTGACATTGATCCAGGCTGCCTGATAGGCGTTTAGTGAACAGCCATCAACATTGATCATGCTTGTATGAAACGCCTGAACGCTGATCATATTCGGTCGTGCTTCTGTGGCGTGCCTGAACACTCATTGGCTTTTACTGAGTTGATTGAATAATCGACCGTCCTGGATGCTTGCTGGTTTTCTTATTTAGATTTTGGTGAAGTTGTATGGTCTCAATAGGTTCGAGCGTTCTGGATCGCTTTCAGGAACATGACCTTGACGATACCTGTGTTTCCTTTGTTCTCAGTTGCCTGTTACATAGGTAGCGTCTTGAGAGTCTTTCTGTAGGTTCATCGTCTTGGAACTAGGGTGTGGACTTGGCATACTGTCATTTGTGTTATCTTGCCGTTCGAATATGCCCATCTTCAGAATAGTCCGCAGGATTAGTCTTAACACTTACATCTCACTGTACCTACCACGAACTGAGGCGATCTCTCAAGCAGAATGACGTTGACAAGCAATCCGGATACAATCAAATTTTGGCAATTAATGTGGAAGTTGCGAACGAGAACGTGTTGATCAATATCGGATAAGGAACGTGTGAAGACATATTGATGGGTATTGATTTTCCTGGTATAGACTGGAATTTTCCTCACGTGACCAAAATGGGACCACGTAGGCTTGTTGGTAAATCCATGATCGTGATAAGCATGAGATAACTCTCTTGTATCCCTAGTGCAGACAAAAAAACAGTTTCTCTAACAGAGTCCCCCCGGACTTCATTATTTGATTTTTTGCAGTCATCATTTAGGTTAGTGTAACTTTGTATTTCATTGGCCTCAATAGATTTCTCCCATCGACTGAGACCCATCTTGAAGAAGTACACAGAGTAAGTTTGGTTGAGGTGAAGACCATTGGTTGCACTTCGTTCATGCTCAATTCCCCCTCTTGCGTTTTCTATACGCTGCGAAAGGCCGGTTAGGAGTATGCATATCTCCGGAATAGGGCCGCATGAGGTCTCTGGCTCTTGTTGGGATTCAGTAACGTAGTGGATATGTCTGTCACGCGATTCTGGTTTGAAGTTGTAAGATGCTGATATTCAGGCAACACGCACTCTTCGACTGGGGTCGGGAGTGGATCATGTTTTAACTCCACATTTCTAGTTAAATTACAATTTCGTGGCGTGGTAGGCTCCAGGTTACTGGAGAGGATATACACTCGGCTACTCATAAGTAGTCAGTTTGCCCAGCTGATTAGGTGGCTGGCTGTGCTAAAATTCACACCTAAACTTAATAGTGTTGAGCGAACGACAATTCGGGCACCACCAGCAATGTCATTCTTTCCACTTATCCACATAAGAATGTGACGGAGAAATAGACGATCGATAATCTATCAGACACCCCTATCTATAAATCATAGTCTATTCAACCACAAGTGAGTAGGCATCATGTTGCATGGCAGCTATGCAACATGAAGAATCACAGGTGGACGACTATTAGTCATAATTTTAGGAGCGGAAACCCAATCAGAATGTCAGAATTAACGTTGCCGCAAATGCGGCGCTGAAGGCCGGAGAGACCGTTCTATCAGCTGTCCTGATCTAGGCTGAGCAAAGTTACACAGCACGTTGTTGGTCAGAGACCAAGCACACTTAACGCTTACATTCGCGGGAGACATTAGAGGTCAGTCGTTACAAACGTTTTCTCAAAATGCACCATCAGAAGTGGTGTAAAGCTATGCGTGCTACTAAAGACTGTGCGGAAATATACTCCTTTACAAATCATATTGGCTTTAGGGAGAAATTCAAAGGAGACTCCTATCTGAGTTTCCGGCTGACATTAATTTAATTCTCAGCTGAGTGGAGTTAGCGATTTGCATACACTTTGGTGTTCAAGTGGAACACCAAGCTTGACGGAAACTTGGTGACTACGCCCACTCGATGAGCCCGAAGATGGACGAAACCGAAAGTAGGCTGTCTGGGAGTTTTCAGTAACTTTCTGAGTGGTTTTACTTCAGGAGAATATACCGGAATATCGTGTTTTCATGCGTCAAATTCAGTTGAGGAATACCATTGTAACGGTGATACTAGTGATGGGGAGGCACGCGAGTAGTACGTGTTGTTCGTAGAATTTCGCTTTGCGTCTTTTGAAAAGGGGAGATCTGTTGCGGAATTCGTGGAGTCACTTTGTAACATTTTACTTGGATTTGACCGAGGAATGATTGGAGTCAATGAATCTCCAGGAAATTTCAAGAAAACGCGTTCGAGAGAATATGGGTGTCCAGTTTTTGTAAAACAAGATGCAAATTAGGGTTTTGTTTCCCTGCTCAATGGTCTGTAACCGGTCAGTTGGCATTTTCCAATAAATAACTCGGCAGCCGAGGCCTTCCTTTCATCATGAACGAGAGGTTTGATTGGGGTTCAGTTTAGTCGCCCGCTAAAGACAGTTTAATCCAGAATTGGGAGTATTTGGCCACGCGTACAAATTGGTATTCCAACAGAATAGAAGTTGAGTGGAAAGTTGCGGAGTACGGTTATCCAATCAGACGCAAGCAAAGTGGAGCCAATCACGGGCTGTCAAGGAGTCTTCAATAATCTTATGAACGACCTGTTAGGTGATGAAAAATTGACTATATCCTTTTAGGTCTTTAAAAAGTCAGTCATTAAGACAAGACACATATGCATATCTCCGGAATAGGGCCGCATGAGGTCTCTGGCTCTTGTTGGGATTCAGTAACGTAGTGGATATGTCTGTCACGCGATTCTGGTTTGAAGTTGTAAGATGCTAATATTCAGGCAATACGCACTTTTCGACTGGGGTCGGGGGTGGATCATGTTTTAACTCCACATTTCTAGTTAAATTACAATTTCGTGGCGTGGTAGGCTCCAGGTTACTGGAGAGGATATACACTCGGCTACTCATAAGTAGTCAGTTTGCCCAGCTGATTAGGTGGCTGGCTGTGCTAAAATTCACACCTAAACTTAATAGTGTTGAGCGAACGACAATTCGGGCACCACCAGCAATGTCATTCTTTCCACTTATCCACATAAGAATGTGACGGAGAAATAGACGATCGATAATCTATCAGACACCCCTATCTATAAATCATAGTCTATTCAACCACAAGTGAGTAGGCATCATGTTGCATGGCAGCTATGCAACATGAAGAATCACAGGTGGA